AATTGAAAAAAGGCATGGAGGAATCAGCTATAACAGCACAGTAGATAGGAAACCCTATATTATCTAACCTTGGACACAGTATACACAACTCTTACTTCGCACAGTATTAGAGAGGTCGAGAATAGAGGTTAACTCCTTCAGTCAAATTTCCGAGGCAGCAAAAAATTAGATTACATAGATGTTTACTCTAAGCATATCCCAACTAAATTAACGCAAAAGAGAAATTACCTAATGGAATACACAATTTGACTGTTAATTGAGTGGCTGTGATTCTATGGTTAGCACATTACATGTTCTACGTTCACTTCTTACGAAGCACACCACATAATACACCTGAAAACATTGTTCCAGAAATTCTCTCTTTCTCAGTACAACTTGGCAACGATACGAACTTGCACAAATTTAGGGTTAATAGAATGAATTACAGTCGACGGTTCTCTAGCCATTCATATAGAGCTTATTATATAGATAACATAAGCCAATCTCTCACTGGCTGCTCATGGGATATGGATGCCTTTGGGGCAGTGCCAACGCTTGTTCCACTCCGCACAATCTCCCAGCACCTGACCTACAAAACATGAAAAAACAATTTCCAAAGGGCCAAAAGAAGGCATCAGTACTGCCATTCTCATAACATACTCTTCATGATAGGTAACATACAAACTCAATCGATTATGTCGAATCTAGAATAAGAGTACTCCATGAGAATCGAAAAACGGCGCCGTATACAGTCTTAACCCACTCAAAATCTCAATTTCTGGCAACACAACCATGATCGTACAACAGTCAAATTCCCATTCTAGAACGACATGTAGCTTTTTAATTAGAATCACGCACCTAACAAGAATAGCAAGAACTGAAAAAACACGGGATAAATGCAGGCACACCTCATCAGAGAGTCAAATTCAGGAACAGAAAAAACAAAAGGAAACAAGAGAGACAAATACCTGGTTGTCCCAGGAAGTGGCAACTAAGAGGTTGGCCTTGGGGCTGAAGCTCAGGCTCGAAACAGAGTCATTCGGAGGTTGGACAACCTGGGCATTGAACAAAACGACAATCCCTCAAAACCCAAAATCGAAAAGCACCCACCGCGCCAAGTCGCTCGACGACGACAATCACAACCCCACAATGAGCTCTACCAAGCGAAGAGATGAGATGGGCCATACCTCGTACGACTTGTTCGGGTTAGGATTCGAAAGAGCGGCGCCGGTCAAGAAAGTAGACATGGAGAACCACCGCGCACGGAGGAGGTGCAACGATTCTTCTCTCTGCGTTCTCGCCGATGGAGGAAGATGAAGAAGCAGAAGAAGGTGGGTGGGTTCGTCCTTGTGCTGAGGTACAGAGTCCCAGGCGTGGAAGAGACACGTAAGGCAGAGCGTCCGGACAGTGGATTCAATAACATCCTTAATTATGATTTTTCGTTAATGATTAACGTGAAAAGGCGCAGGATTAGATTACTTACGTGATAGAAGGTGCTTTTGCCTAACTAATCGGCTCCCGACATGCGCCAAGACGGCGCTGGAAAAGTATATATATATATATAATGTTGTTAGACGGGTTTCGTATACCTGACTCGACGGTTAAATCTAATAACCCTCCAAAACGGGTCATGCTTGACAAGACACTACTTTGATGTTAATTAATTTAAGCAATGCGACGGTGCTAGCACTGTTTGAAAGGTTGGACATGCTTTCATTTTTGAAACGATATGGAAGCCATTTGTTATATTCTTTCACCACTTGTTATCCGTAGATTATTACCTATCCAACACATTCCAATGATCTATCAACATTAACACATAAATAGTAATATGAGGATATATTCTCTCCTACAAAACATCTCTCTCTTCATTTTGAAGCTCACAACTTCTCTTTCGTCTTTTGATCGCCCTCATTTTCGGTACCAGTGCCAGTGCCAGCATTGGAGGGCCAATCCGGACATAAAATTCAGATGCCTTGACTTGTTTGTTGGGGTGCAAATCGATTTCTAGTTGGAGTTTCAGCATCAATTTGCGGTTCCTATTTCGATTTTCAACATTATATATCAAGTGGATGAGCAAAGATTCCCATTTCAGCTTGAATTCGCGGTTCCCATTTCACTCTACCCCTTCAATTTTCCAAAGAAATCTAAAGAAATTGATGAAAAGAAGGAGAGAGAGAAAGAAAAACCTCGCATGTGCATGTGCATGTGCATGTGCATGTGCATGTGAGGCCTTACGGGTCGTGAAAAGGCCCATTGAATGGGTCCACGCAGTGCAACCGGGGCTCACACTGTGAAAGCGGAAACTCATAAATCATTGAAGACTTTCTTTCTTTGTGGCTCGGTTCCTAAACGGGAAAATGACACAAATAATCTTTAAACTTTAATTTAATATGTAATGTGATCCTTGAACTTTTAATTTATTCAATATAGTCCACGAACTTTAACTCAATATACAATGTGATCCCTGAACTTTTAATCTGTTCAACATCATCCATGAACTTTTGGAACATGTTCATTTAGTCCCCGAACTATATCAAAATGTCCAATATAGTCCATAAACTTTTTGAACAGTTTCATACAATTCAGGGATCATATTGAACATGTACCAAAAGTCCAGGGACCACATTGAACAAATTAAAAGTTCAGAGATCAAATTGCACATTTGACCAAAGTTCAAGAACTGTTTGTGTAATTATCCATTCCTAAATCAGTAAATAGACCAGAAGGAAAATTAAGGTTACGTTTCTTTTTGCGAAAAATAAAGTATTTGAAATATATATTTTAAAAATAATCGTTTATATCGCTTGAAATGATTAATTGACGAAAAATGATTTCATTATCGATAACAATTTATATCTAAATCTATTCGTTGATGATGAAAAGATTTTTCGTCCATTCATTTCTGTAATTGGTGCAATTGTTCATTTTCGGAAAAATATTTCTTAAATCGTTTATTTTCTACGAAACAAGCGGAACCTTAATTTTCCTCCTCTTTCTTTTGGGTATTTTCCTCCCCTTTAACACCAACTAGTGTTGGGGAATTATGTCATTTTTTTTTGCTTTTCCATCATTAAATGCAGGAGAATACCACTTGAAACATGGTTGTATCTAATTTGTGAGTTATTTACGCGTATGCCCTTTGATCCTTGCGCCTCCTTGACCTTTTCAGTTTTTGGCAGGGGCAAAATGGGTAAAGGGAAGCGAGACAAACATATGCTTCGGTTAAATATATAACCGACGATAACTAACCATCTTGCTATGTATAAACTGGTCCGGATTTTGTCCTTTCTCTCTCTCTCTCTCATCTGCATTGCCTAAGGATAGAAAAGCTCGTTCTTTTAAGACAAGGTTCAAGATACATAAGCCTATATGAAAAAGAGAATTGTACGTCTCTTGTGGACTTATTAGCTCAGGAAAAGACTCACATCAACGCAACGTGAGCATCTACGTAATTCGTTAATCTCTCGACATATACTATAAATACGTACTGTTTCTTGTTTATAAGTACTTGCTCAAGTGATCAGCTAAAGATATTGCTTGTTTTCCTTCGGAAATTACGGAAAATTGTTCAAAATTGACCAGATGGATTCCGGCTACCATATTTTGTTGGCTTGATTTATCTTTCTGTCATTTAAACTGCCGTTACAATGTATATGTTTGTGAGAGACCACTGTTTCTGGACTGACATGAATCCAAAGTTTCTTGCTAGCTACCGATTCATGAATGAAGTATCGTCCTGAATCTGGCCAAGTCACGAGGGCTTGATCAAAAGATTTCAAGAACAAGAACGCGACAAACGAGTATATATGCTAAGTTGCTGTTAGCTGGCTGTCAGAGCTCTCTAAGAAGAACCCTTTTCAATCTTAAACTCATTTATTGTACTGCAAAGTCTGTAAAAAAACACTGATACTGAACTGAACTTGGGCCTGCCTTGCCTCTGTACTTTTTTTGTTTGACCATCTCTTTAGCTTCTGAGCAACCACTTCCAACAGTAACAGACTGGTCAGCTATCACTATATAGTGTTGCTGTTGCATGCAAGGAAGGCCAAAAGGACTACTATTAAAGGCCTGTGGTCCACAAGAATATGTGGTCCTTTGAAAGGGAATTAGGAGAGAGTACCCACGTTTAAAAGAGCAGCTAGACCTGAAAAAAGTAGTTACTACACTACACTTGGGCTGGCCCCATTTCATATATACAACTTCTTTTCAAATTTGGTGTTGCCATTAACTACTGTATCTAACATCTTTGCAGGATGATAAATGACCAGGTTGAGTTTGATGTATTTCCTCTTTCCTCTTCATTCTGTCCTTTTCATTTTATTGATCACGCCGGTGTCATTCATTCTTATAATAAAAGCCTGATCTGATGCCGCCTCAAAATCTTGCTATAATAGTAATAGTTCAGGTTCAATAGCATTGTTATGTGAGAGAGGTAATGAAGATCACTACACCTGAACAAATTATTATTAACAATTAGTGTCTATGTGACAGCAGTTCTTTGATGTTGGCCTCTTTAAACTCTTGATTGCACTGCCTTCGTTGCTTGGCTGTAGGTTTGCTTGTTCTTGCTTCTACAAGTGATATCCTACTCTTTTCCTCATGTAGTATCAGCTACCATGCTAGGACTAGTGGGTGTGAGGTAAATTGAAGCAATCTAGATGTTTGATCATAAGTCTAGGTCAATTGAAGTAAGTAACCCAATTTATTTCTATAGGAAATGCGACAGATAAAGGCAGTGTTGAGATGCACGTGTGAGCTGTGTTAGAAAAGTCACATATCGGAGAATTGGTGTGATGTGGAGTAGTTAATATATCCTAGTTGGTCCACAACTGATTGGCTCAAACTTATGACTGAAGGTGAGCTCAACTAGATATGTTGATGGGTTCGGGCTCCCTCTTGGCAAAGGTTCTACTGCACGCATACAATTCAAGTAGTAGTTCCTCTCCAAGTCAAGCAGAGTTGAGTATGAAGGAAACAAGTATGTTCCTGAACATTAACACATGATGGGGACAGGATGGTTGTATACATTCAAACATAGGCATTGCAGTACTGATAAACTCTGACAATTGCCAGCCAATTCCTGTTAGCTAAGTCATTTAAGATGATATGTTTCTGTGAAACTCATAAGTAATAAAAGAAACCAAAGGTTTGGAATATCTGCAATTTCTCATTTATACTAACTCGCAACACACCTCAAACATCTCCTCTCATCCCTACCTAGAGAAATGAGGGGTTTCATGTGCCAGTCTGTGGAAGTAACTTCAGGATGCACCATACCTGATCCTCGGTCGGTCATTGTTCCTAGGAGAGTTCCAGATCAAGCTCTGGTGGATTCTACTTGTCTTTTAAACAAAGGCAGGTACTCGAGACTTGTTGAGGCTCAGAGCATTGGTGCAGCCACAAGCAAGAGTAGATCAGTTCTGGTGCATGCTGATAAAAGAGGACATAACGAGACCGCTTCTTCGAAAGCCATCCAGCAACCGTCTTCCCTGGATTCATCAGATAATGTATTCCGGGTCAGAATTGCTGCTCTTTCTTCTCTTTACATTTTTGTTATGGCTTATATGAAGAGGACACGCAATCGTGGTAGTGGGAGTCATCATTGCGTTGGGGAATAAAGAATTCTAACAATTAACTGCTGAACAAATTATGAACGTGAAACATTGAGAAACACTCTGACATACAGAGATGATCAGGAATGGAAGGATTTAGGTCATGTATCAAAATGAGTATCTCAAATGATCTAGATTTAGGACTTGTGGTTGCAGGTGGTTGTTATGAGGGTGTCTCTTCATTGTCAAGGCTGTGCGGGCAAAGTAAAGAAGCATCTGTCTAAGATGGAAGGTACTCATGCCGGCTCATTCCTGAGTTCACACAATGCGCACGCGCGCACACAGAGTCGTTCTCATTCATGGTCTTAAAAAGTGGTTGCCCAGAATAGTACTTTTGATGCTTCTCTAACCACACTTTTTATGAGCTAAACTGGTGCTCTTGGCACAATTACCATATCTAACTCAGATGCTATTTCCTTCATTGAGATTGACAGATTTATTGCTATATCATTGCACCATTAGGTTTTTAATCATACGAGACCAGTAACATGGTAGGCGAGATGTGTCATCAAGGGATCACAGTCAGTTGCATACTATCTTGGCATTAATAAATTAGACAATATCATGATCAAATCCAATCCCTACATCTCAACAATAGATATTCTTTTATATGCATTACTTTATGTTTAAACTGAAGTAATTTGAGTGATGAAAAACCATATGCTTCGACGTTGACTCCAGGAGTAACATCCTTCAGCATAGATCTGGAGACAAAGAGGGTGACCGTGAGGGGACATGTATCACCAGTCGGAGTCCTGGAGAGCATCTCAAAGGTGAAGAGAGCTGAGTTCTGGCCTCCTCCTTGAAGAATTGAAGAAACTGTCTTCTTTAACCTTCCTCTTGGAACTGTTTCAACCTGGTGGTCCATTCCATTAAGAAAAAGAGAAAATTGGCAAAAAGAAAGAAAAAAAGTTGAAGACTCTGATCATCCGAAATGGCCTCAGGTCAGACTGATAGTGATGTTGGGTGTTTTGACAGGAAGGCTTGGACCATTTGCTTTTTTCTTCTTTCTTGGGCTACTGTACTGTCCCTATTAGAGCCAAACGCATATGTTCTTGAGATTTTATGCTTAATGGTGCTAAATTATTGTGGCAAATTTGTATGTGATTTGCCTGCAATCCCCTCCAAGCTAACCCATCACTTTCCTAAAGCAAGACCACAGGAAAGTATAGAATGGCTACACCCGAAAACGACAATGAGCCCACCAATTGGGTTTTAGTCTATCACAAGATTAATAGATGGAATAGACATTCGTGATTTGAATAGACCTCCACTATTAGGATTTTGGTGTTTTTACGGTAGTCAACAGAAAAGGAGAGAAAAAGAAGATATATTCCTAGACGCTACTGGAATATGGACATGCATGTAGACCAAACGGATTTGTAAGGTGGTTATTGATTGCCCAAGTTTCCTTCTGACCTGACAATTGACATTGCTTGTGAAAGCCATTTCTTCTTTCTTGGTGCAATATATCCTTAACCTCTTTGCCAACTGCTAAATTTGGGGTTAATCTTAAGTGGAGAGGAAGCCTCCTCTTGCTGTCCCGGCATCACTGCCTCGTTCACAGGTTCAAAGTCTTCCAATGGAGGGCCCATAGGTTCCAGTTAACATGAACCCAATAGTCTCTGTGTTCATGCCATGCCATGATGGGGCCATGTTTGAAGTATTCTCTTCTTCCTTTTGTTGTCTTGGACTATGCAAGTGCTCATTGAAGACGTCGCCATTCTTATATATTAATAAATTCCAATCCAAGCTTCCTATATGTCATTTATAGGAAGCTTGGAATTAAAATAAAAGAATGCTTGCATGACAATCACCGCCTGAATACAGGGACTGAGAGAAAGAAAAGGTTTCATCTGTCATCTTGTACTTGTCATTTCACGCCTTCCGCAATGTTCGTTTATATTCTATTTCACTGGGAGTAATTGTGTATATAATATAAATAATTTCCCAATTAAGAATTCTTGTAAGAAAGCGAAACTTATTAGATGAGCTGGACAGTCCAAATAATCTCCTCCGCATAACTTGTCGATTTGGTATTCGCGGATCGAAGATTTATTTCTTCATGTGTTCACAAATGTCAAGTATCTGGAATTGGAAAAAAGGAGTTAAAAGAATGTTCTGTCAGCTTTCTTGATCGGGAGAAATTATCTGGTGAATCTGTTGGTACATACAACACACTCAATTCAGTCCGTTCTCCTTGATCAGACGTGGGTGGCTTTGCTTTGATCCGTCTAGAGAGGTCGACAGAGCCGGACACTGCTTGACTGCATAAGAAGCTATGAGGCAAGAATCTTGGATCTCCTATAAACTCTGGATAAACCAAATTGAGTCGAGGACCACTATATGCAGGGTCACTTTCCATAAATGAAGCGAAAGCCAAGCTCTGTTTAGCTGGCATAGTTTTTCGCCTTTCGCACATATTTCAGCAGTTCAACAGGCATTAGACAACAGACCCAAAAAAAAAAAAAAAACAAGCATTAGACCCAATTCCAGGGCATGCATGGCCTGAGGGATAACAGAGAAAGAAATTGAATTCAGGGCACGAATGCTCTCGCACGGTGAAGCAGCAGCAAGCTAACTGCTCATTGGTCAAACACATCGCGGAACTTGGAAGTGGATAAAGAGACGGATCAACAGCTGGTGCCAAATAATGCATGCAAATTATAGATATTATCGTGCAAGCAATCGCTCACGCACATCCCTTGACTGAGTCTTCCATTGTGAACGCATCCCTCATATCGGTGCCTATTCATTCTCTCGAAGAGACAGCAAAAAGAGAATTCCTAATGGCGTTGACAGAACTGGACGAGCGTGGGAATACTGATCGAAGTCGAACGATCATCTCTAATGTTTATCGTTAAGATATTCGTGCATCATCACAGAGGTGCACATCCTGCCCCTTCCTTACACAACAATTCAACGTTTTCAGATTCAATGAACCTGGATCGTTTCTTAGTCATCTACTCTGTGTCTTGATATCAAGTTCTGCATCGGTTTTATTATTAGAATAAAGAGCTCGCTGTATTCAGAGCTCAGAGCGGAAGCAGGTCTCGCCTCATCTGTGGCGCAAGAGACGGTCAGCTTCTGACTTTCTTCTTTTCTTTATCATTTGATTGCCTGTGGTTGTGGCTGTCGGTCACTCTCGGCTCTGAGTCTAGATCATTATTCTGCTGATATCTTTCTTGTTTAATGGGAATGTAACATCATTTTCTTTCAAAGGGGTGATGATTCTCTTTTGATTGTCTGATGAACCGCTATGGATGTTCTAAAAGCCAAAATACGGGGGGGTGGCGGAGAGTTCTAAAACATACTCGTGGGACGATGATTTTGATTCTTTAAATGGGTATTTTACTAGCAAAGTGAAAAGACTGGTTAAAAAGTCAATTTTCCAACTTTCTTTTTAGCGCCTCTTTTGGTGTTTCTTAAATTTTAAAATTTTCTTTTGGTTGATCAAGTGTACTTTTTTTACAGTGGTCAGAACTTGTTGGTGCTTCTAGTTTTCTGATGTTGTTAAGGTTGTAAAACTTCTTTTCTGTTCATGGATCCAATTTGTGGTCCATGAAAGTCATGTTGCTGTTTCCCTTTCGTTGATTCCTTTGTAAAGGGGAAAGGGAGATGAAGAGAATTCGGTTCGCTCAACTTGTCTATTTAAGAACACCAGACTGAAATAAGCCTTGCTCCCCCCGTTTAGCTATCGTTTAGGACAACACAAGCAGCATACATACGATGCTTATGCTTGTCCTTTCTTATTATGGAATGTACTACCAAGTACCATTTAAATGCTAGATGGTGTCAACTGAAGTGTATTGTACCATCACTTATCATCGTGGTTTATTATTATGATGGAAAATTTGATCTTTCTTTTCAATGAACTTGGAAAATGCAATGCTTCTAGGACTCTCGTTGCAGATAAAGCCAGCATAACAGCTACAGCTCCATTTGTGGATTGCTTTTGATTGCACCTTTTCTTTTCACGAGTCATGACCATGGTAGTTACCTCAGTAGTATTCCTTTTTATCACTGCAAAGTGGTTCTCGTCTTGGATCAAGTGAAGTTCGGTTTTGCCGTTTCAAATGTAGATGCACATCTTTCCCTTCCCTCCTATTTAATGCCCATGACTAAATAGTGATGAGCAATGACATAAAGGTTGATCTGAAGGAAATGAATTGTTGAAAATGTCTGAAAACCATCTTTCTTGCGAAGCCTAGCAGTTCATTGTCAATCTGCATAGGGCAAGATCTGGATAGTATAAAAGAATAGGTGGTTTCGGTTTGCGCAGAGAAAACAAAGCGTTAGCTGATTCACTAAATGATTGCAGGAGCTAAACTCAGAAGTCAGCAGAAAGGATAATGTCAGAGTCCAATATATTTATGTTCCTGCCAAAGAGCATGAAGTATATACAGCTAAAGTCAACTCTCTCATAGAGCACATAAACACCAAATTGATGTGATAACTAGTGGCTATCCAATTGCCTTGAGTCAACGCTTACAAATTTAATACAAGTTTCACAAGATTTAAGAAACCTTTTCATCATGAGACTGTTGCTTGATGAATTTAGATCGAACAGAGATGTGTATACATTCTCACGGTGGAAGGCTGGGGCTTACTGTCATCTTAAACATTTGACTTTAGATTATCCTGTACCTAATATAAAATACAGTTTCCAAACCATCTCTGCTACAGGTCCTCGTTCCTCTTGCAGTTCTTTTATCTCGTGAGTATCTTCATTTCCGTAGAGCTCATCTTAAGCTGATGGCCCGCTTTTTCCTTGATTCCATCAACATCTATGCCCGAATGTGATTAGATTCTACCTTAAGAAAAGAAACAGAGAATTTTATGACCCATCTGAAATAGGAAAATTAGATTTTTAAGCTCTTAACCAGTGCAGTGCTGAAATAAGCCAAGCATTAATATTCATCATTCTTACTACTTGTGTTTGCTTGTTTGCGATACAGCTTGTCTCTGTTCTCTTGACACGATGAGTCATCGTGTCAGCAGCAACCTTGGGGCACAAGAAACTGACATAACAAACGCAGCTTCGTTGCAATACCATTCAGAGGCACCGTATATCCACAAAGTGGGCATCCCTCCAAAGCAGAACCTTCTGCAGGAATTCACAGCCACAGTGAAGGAGACTTTCTTTGCAGATGACCCGCTTCGTCAGTTTAAAGATCAACCGCGGTCAAGGAAGTTCATTATTGGCATCCAGAGTGTTTTTCCCATTCTCGAATGGGGAAGACGCTACAACCTGACTAAGTTTAAGGGCGATCTGATCGCTGGACTTACCATAGCAAGCCTTTGCATTCCACAGGTAATAGTGACGGCAACTTTGAAGAGCTAGATAGATTTGCTCTTTGCACTCTATTTCCACTTCTTATGGTTTCTTCATCTTTGTAAACTAGGATATTGCGTATGCAAAGCTTGCAAATTTGGCTCCACAATATGGACTATGTAAGTTGTCTTCTTCTCTTTTCGTTAACCTAGTGTACTTGTTAGCTTAGTCATTTTCACTAGATAAATGATGTGTCCTCCATTGCACTACAGATAGCAGCTTTGTTCCCCCTCTTATATATGCCTTCATGGGTAGCTCGAGAGATATTGCCATAGGGCCAGTAGCTGTTGTTTCTCTCTTGCTTGGGACTCTTCTTCAGGACGAGATTGATCCAGTTAGTCATCCCCAAGAGTACAGACGCCTGGCATTCACGGCTACTTTCTTTGCTGGCATCACCGAAGTCATGCTTGGGTTCTTTAGGTATATCACCCCAGTCGGGATTATTTGACGTGCATTTCATTTCTTTTTCTTTTTGTTTTGGATGAGGCTGTTTATGACACGACTGACGAGTCAAGAGATTTTTTTTTACTCTCACTAATGGATACACTATTTTCATTTCTAGGCTGGGCTTCTTGATCGATTTCCTATCTCATGCCGCGGTTGTTGGCTTTATGGCCGGTGCTGCAATCACCATTGCTCTTCAACAGCTCAAGGGTCTGCTGGGCATAACAAACTTCACAAAGAAGACCGACATAGTGTCTGTTATGCGATCAGTTTGGAGTACGGTGGATCATGGGGTACGTCAAGAAATTCAACTACTCATTTTATCTACTACATAGAATAACTGGCTACATAGGTATTAAACTTACTCTATCGTACTACTGCTTTCTCAGTGGAATTGGCAGACGATAGTGATCGGAGTGACATTCTTGGCCTTCCTCCTTCTGGCCAAATACATAGTAAGAAGTCTGTCTTGTTCTTCATTATTAAATCCTGACTGGATCTCTTCCTAGCCATTTATCTCAATTTCATGGTCTATTACATCAGGGCAAAAAGAACAGGAAACTATTTTGGGTGGCTGCAATTGCCCCTCTGATCTCCGTTATCCTGTCCACTTTTTTTGTGTATATTACTCACGCTGACAAGCAGCATGTTGCAATTGTAAGAACGCTTCTCTGTGGTTTTGCTCTATTTCATTTGCATTTCATTTTAACTCGTTCAGTTGACCATAGCTGTTATATTAACCCTGCCATATACAATTTTGTCTGAAGGTGGGTGATATAAAAAAGGGTGTGAATCCATCTTCTGTGAAGAAAATCTTTTTCACTGGCACTTATCTTGCCAAGGGCTTTAAGATTGGCGTAGTTGCAGGCATGATTGCTTTGACGGTAAGAAACTTGTCCATATTTTTTGAGTATTGGAGTTGATGTAGCTAGCAAGGATCACCTAGAGGGGGGTGAATAGGTGATTTTAAACAATTTTGATCAATTTAAGCGGAAATGATTGACCACAGTTGAGTCTGAATAAAATTCAGATTCAAAACAGTTTATATAGACAGTGCTCTTGATGTACAGTAAGTAAAGTAAGAGATAAGGGATAGAAAAACTGCACACAAGTTTATAGTGGTTTGGCTTATCTCAAGCCTACGTCCACTCTCCCACACTGACAACCTACTGGCTGGATTTCACTATGTAATCAAGAGGAATTACAGATTCTGAGTGACAGCACTCTTGTGTATGATAGGACTCTCTATCTCACACAATCACTCTTACAAAGTATCCCTCAAGATCTTAATGTTTAGCTCAGAAAGACAAGAAAAAGGATCAGAGTATGCTCAGACTTTGGACTTGTTGATTATCGATTTCGTTCATACCTTCTGCTCCTCGTAGGTCTCCTTTTATACTCCTCCACTCCCAAACTAGCCGTTAGACAGTCTTCAAAGAATCATCTTCCAATCTTCATCTTGGACAGATTTGTATAAAATGGATTGAGTGGCCGTTGGTTGACAAAATCTGAATCCCGTTGATTCTGTTCGCCCATACAATCAGAATCTTGATTTTCATAAGTAGAGCTTTATCCGTTGTAATGCATACTTGTCATGATATTTGATTGTCAATCAATTTGATTAATATTGAGTCAATCAAAACTTTCTTATTTTGAAATCCATGCCAGATCACTAACTGTTGTGATTCGTTTTTAAATGAGTTTTGCTTCTGCTTCTGAAAAACTTCTGAGTCTGCATCTGCAAAACTTCTGCGTCTGAATAATTTCTGATTCTTGCTTTACATTCAGAACCTGAGTCTGCGTAGGTCTTCAGTAAAATCTGAGTCTCTCAAAATTAGAGTCTGAATGACTTTTATGGTAAAATATGAACTTTTAATTTTGAGTTTGAACTTTTAGTTCTGAAAACTTGTAAAGTCTGATATTTCCTTCTGAACTTCCAGAATATGTTAACCTGGAATGGAATGCATGTCAGATTCACAAGATAAATATAGAAAGTTTTGTCAGCTTCAAAATTCATTAGGAGTTTTCCTCAACTGGAGTTGTTATATGTGATTCTCTTTCCTAACTTAATGATATCTCTAGGAAGCCATTGCGATTGGACGGACATTTGCTACCATGAAGGACTATCAGATAGATGGAAATAAGGAAATGGTAGCACTAGGAATGATGAACGTGGTTGGTTCAATGACATCCTGTTACGTTGCTACTGGTATGAAAGGACAAGTACTGAATGCTACATCGTGAACTAGAATTCTTTTCAATGATATTCACCGGATCATTTGCGCTTTGTGCAGGGTCTTTCTCTCGTTCTGCTGTTAATTACATGGCTGGTTGCCATACAGCAGTCTCTAACATTGTCATGTCCTGCGTGGTGTTGTTAACCTTGGAACTCATCACGCCATTATTCCACTATACTCCAAATGCAATTCTCGCATCAATTATTATATCCGCAGTGGTTGGCCTAATTGATATTGAAGCAGCAATACTGATTTGGAAAATTGACAAGTTTGATTTTGTTGCTTGCATGGGAGCCTTCTTTGGTGTGGTTTTGGTCTCTGTTGAGATAGGCCTCTTAATTGCGGTAAGATTATCAGGAACTTTTGCTAGTCTTCAGATGATTTTCATTCTCCGTGTGGATTACTAAAGTAGGGCTTTCCTTTGGCAGGTTTCAATTTCATTTGCCAAAATACTCTTACAAGTAACAAGACCTCGCACAGCCATTCTTGGTAAGCTACCGAGGACGACTGTTTACAGGAATATTTTGCAATACCCAGAAGCAACAAAGGTTCCAGGAGTTCTGATTGTCAGAGTTGATTCAGCCATCTATTTTTCGAATTCAAACTATATCCGTGAAAGGTACTAGATAGGAGCAAGAGTGGAGGGCAAAATTGGCCCCTGTTTGTCCTTTCTAATTTATTCTTGGCCAACTTTGCCAAGAACTCCATGATTTCCATGATATAATATGCATAAATTAAGCCTAACCATGAATAGGTACAAGAGAATTCTGTGCCGGTGCCTTAGAGCAGGTATTTATATTGGTATGACTTGAATTTTTCAGGATATTGAGATGGCTTGGCGATGAAGATGAATATCTGAAGGAGAATCATCAACCAAGAATCCAGTACTTGATCGTGGAAATGTCTCGTAAGCTGTTTCTTGCACGACCAGCTTCGCTCTTTTTTATTTTTCCCGTGATCAATGCCCTTACAAGTATTTTGACATTATTATCTGTGCCTGCAGCCGTTACAGACATTGATACTAGTGGCATACATGCCCTTGAAGATTTGCACAAAAGCCTCCAGAAGAGGGATATTCAGGTAAGTTATGCTTAAAACGAATTGCTCCATGCTATTTTTATGACATTCTCCATGACGTCTCACCGACCATAAAGTCACTTGCTTCGCTAAGTAATGCTCCTCCAATTGAGATCAAACCTAAATATTTTCCTCTAGTGTCCATCTCACCTGCCCCGACCTGCAAAAACTATTTCTCACAAAAAATAAGGCTCGTTCGTTGGCGGAAGTCGGAAAATGTTTCGGGCGGAAGTTCCGTGGGCAGCGAAATCATTTTCGGCTTCTTCTTCTTCACTAAGTGCGCCGCCGCGTCGCCACGCGCGAAAAATTTTCGAAACTTTTCATATTGATCACGAACACGGAAAATTATGTTCGGAAAACATTTTCCAGGAAAATGAAAATTTTTCAAAGGAGAATATTTCGACGACGAGCTAAGTTATTTGAGCAAATAATTGCCTCAGTACAGGTATCTAGCTATATGTCTTTTACCCTCAACAGGTTCTTAATATTCTCATTGTCCAAGCAGTTTATCTTCACTCATGCTTAGACAAGCTAAAGTATTTGGCAGGATAGGCCCTATAAGCAGACAGGCTTTAGCTCATCTCTTGATCGCACTCCACTTGTACAGACTACCATCTATTTACATTTTACATGATTACTTTTTGCGTATTCTTCTGCAGCTTGTTCTTGCAAATCCAGGACCGGTGGTGATTGACAAGCTTCATGCGTCCAAGTTCATCGACTTGATTGGGGACGATAAGATCTTCCTTACTGTAGCAGACGCCGTTATGACCTGTGCTCCCAAGACGGAACAAGCCTAATCGTCCCTTTTCGCACGCTCCATAATTTCCGTAATTGTTCCGCTTGATGATCAAACAGTTCGGGCACTAACTGAGACTTATCTGGGTCTTGAAATGGTGTGTGTAGTGTGTCAGTAAAGAAATGAGAGCCAGTTGTGAATTTGTTTTGGTGGCAGGACGTGAAATGGGTGTGAATGCTGAGTGATATCATAAGCTTTTCTCTCTTGTGGGGCAATTGCAATGTCTGTAGATTTTGTCTTTAAATTGTTCTGGCATGTTTGTGTTCTTATTGACTCCTAAACGAAATGGGACAAATAAATGGAACGTGTGGTTCCTCTGTTGTTTTTTCTTTTATCCCAGTCTCTTTGTACTTACATTGTTCATTCAAGGATATCAAAGTGTCTGCAATAATCAATTCCAACGATGGGAAGATTCATTCATACAAACATAACATCTCCATAGACAACGACGAAGATAAGGATATACATTATGATCCCCCTAGAAAAACACAATTAGGGTGTGTTTGTTTTGGCGAAAGTGCTTTTCTGGAAAGTGTTTTATGGACTTTCATCTATTTGGTTCTCTGAAAATGATTTGGTTAATGGAAAATACTTTTCGGTCAACACAAATATCATGTTTTATTTTAGGAAAGTGAATTTCCTTATCTAAGAAGGTGAAAATACTTTCCGGAATTGTTCATCTTGAATTTGTTAATATTTTTTATTTTATTTTCTTTAATTATTTTATTTTATTTTCTTTTTCTTTTCTTTCTAAGAAGGAAAACATTCATGTATTTTCTTTTCTTAATACAAATAATTTAAAAATAACAATAATTTGAAATAATTAAAAAATAGAAATTTTTTTGATAATTTTCACCATTAGATTTTCCTCACCAAACAATGAAAATACTTTCCAAGTTTTTTTTAGGTTTTAGCCAAACATCGTCGAAAAATGAACTCATTTTCCTGGAAAATGATTTCCCAGAAAACATTTTCCAGAAACGGTACGTTTTCCATGAAACAAACGCACTCTTACGTTGCAGCGTCTTAGACATTTTCACTTTCATGGATCATGTGGATGGAGAGCTCCTTCTGCTAGAAAAATCCAGGCTCCCCCATAACTGTGCTCCCAAACTTTCGCTCGTAAAATTACCAATGGTCATTAACTTTCTCCTAGTTACCGGCAATATGGACTTTCTTACTTCGATAACATATACTATGAGAAATCATTTCATGCAATCAATTTCATTGCTGACTAGTATAAGATAGTCTCTTGCATTCTAAAGTCTCAATAAGTAGTGTCAACTAAGAAAATGAAGGAAAATCACAGAAAGTATGTGCTATGTAGCTTATAGCATGCTTTGAGAGGATGCGAAACCCTTTGGTTCACCGCTTTAGTTTGAGTGGAGCGGATGCAATAGCAAAATTTTGAAAGGTCAAAGTTTGATGACTAACCCTTGGTTCCTTTGCTCTAGTTGCTAGTTCAAACTTCATGATGCAGGTTCTTTACAATTTTAAGATAATAATAAATATAAAGTATCACGAAATACTATGTGATAATTTACCGAGAGAATTGGTAATCAAATTACTAAATAAACTTTGGTAACTAACTCAAATGAGAGTTGGTAGCCTAATATCATGTGATAATGTAATATGAGAAAAGTTGGTGAGTTACTCTAAAGATTGGTGATTTTTTAAAAGAGTTAGTAAATGTAAAGAGTTATTAACAAAGGACATAAGAATTGATGATACGATTGATAAAGTTAATAAATAAGAAAAGATATCGGTACGTGACTTGAATGAATTAAGGTAATTGCCAAAAATTAGTTGGTAGTTCAATCCGACAATAATCGATAAATCACTTTAATTTAGATTGATAATTTCATATACGAATTAGTAAATTCAAACCATTAGTAAGAGAGTACAATCAACGGTAGTAAACTTTATACGAAAAATTCCATATTTGCACACTACCAAGAAAAGTTGGCAATTTTGTAAAACTGTTAATTTACCAGCACGAAGAAAAATCCGTATGTTTTGATACGGAAGAATAGAATTCTGCCATTTATGGAATGCTGTTCGTGGTTATAAAGATACACATGAGGGCTTATAGACTTATGGTACGCACTAGACTAATCAGGGCACATTCAACTATCAACACAGAAAACGAAAGATAGTTTATTCATCATATGTACAGCTGGATTTCAGGAGCCAACCAACCAACAAACAAAACCATCAACAAAAGAAATTGCAATTTGATAAATAAATTAAGTTAGTGTAACCCGAATCACAAAAGAATAATTGAATCTGAATCGATGAATTGTCAAAGACGCGTCTTACATAATTATGAATAACCAGAGTGGCTAACAGCAAAAATAAATCATATACTTTCTTTTCCTTTCTTTTTTAATCCTTAATTTTGGTTGAACAAGTTTCTTAATCTCTCCGGAGGTTGTGAGCGCGTTTTCGCGCGGCCCACGACCCGTTCTTCTGAGCCATCCGATTGTTTGACCTCTTCTTCAGCTCAACGATCTGATCTTGCCGCCTACTCCTCATCATCTCCTGATCATTACTATCGACGACACTGCATGGCGATCTCCAACATACGGTCGAGCTCAGGCCCGGTTCGTAGTTATGCTCGTGGCGCGACATGGGGTCGGACAGCGTCTCGTAAGCCTCGTGAAGCCGGAGGAACATCCTCGTCGACTCTTCTTTCATCGATGGGTTGCGGCACGCGTCCAAGTGATACCAGAGCGCCAGTGTTCTGTACGCTTTCTTGATATCATAAGCGCTCGTGTTGTTAGGGTTCAGTGATAGCAGCTCGTAGTAGTTGGAGCCAGTTTCACGTGCCGACTTGGTATCTGATGATGATGATTTGCATGAGATGGTGATCCTGGGTCACGGCCTTTGTTTTGTGGAAAGAGAGAGAGCTGGGAGCTGAGAGGAGACGGGTTTTGTGGTAATTCCGGACAAGTTATATCTAGGTAGATAAGAAAAAACTGCAAACTTTTACTTCGAATTTCGAATCGAACTATGTCACGCCCCGAACACCATCGAGCTCACGACATCCCCTGCTCCGGCCGAAATGATGCGACGGAACGCGCCGACCCAACCCAAACATCGAGCCACATGCGGAAGCAAATAATAAAACCGGACAAATAATGACGACAACGGGGTAGAACAACAGAACAAAGCAACCACATATTCATACAACACCAAATATACATATATCATATTAAAGGCATAATTAACAAACTAGCATCCGAAATCACCGTCAACAAAATATCGGGGTCTGGTTAACTTAACTTCCCTATGGGTCAACCCGATTTACACAACCCCAAAAATCTTAAGGAAAAACCTAAGGATCGCCCTCCTCCGGTGCTGCCGAATCTCGGCTCGAATCTCGGAACTCACTGCGGCTCCAGGCACCAACAGTAGCTCCCGAACTTCCAAAAGAAAAGGCGCACTTCCGGGTTTAGGGCCGGGGTGCGAAAGTGGCGGTTATACAACCGTGAGACGAATCTCAATAAGTGTACAACCCCAAACCCCACGTAGGCATTCACGTACGCGCCGCGCACGAAAACACCCATAACACACAACGATCGGCCAAACTAACAATCATATGCGACCCTACGGAATACATCACGCACGTTCTCGCACGTTAGGCAATAATACACCAACACATCACAAGAAGGAATCACAGACGCGCTGCCTTAATTATAAGACGAAACCACTTGGGCACATCCCATACCGTGCCTAGCGGTTTCTACCCCATAATTAAGCATCACATCACGCGATACAAACACACTTGCACGCTACTCACACCATGCGTCACTTTCCACAATCCTCTCGCTTGTCTTGCCAAATCCCACTCATTTTCAACCTTTCCACCACTCCCCGCTAACCGAATGATAACATTTTGATTGATTTTGTCCCGCGTAACGTACACGCCTCGGGACGGAATCCTCACACACACTTTCCTTCTACCGCGCCGCGTAAAACGCATCGGGCCAACGGTCTTCCGACCACGTCGGGCATCGACACTGTCGGGCCGGCATCGTCACCTCGTCGGGACGGCATCGTCCCGCGTAAACGTACACGCCTCGGGACGGACCTTTCCAACCAAACCACATTTCCATATCCTCGTTCCACTCAAACCACACTTACGCACCACTCACTCGCACGGCCAAACACAATTCCACATTGCATGCACATTTCACAATTCACATACACTTTGCAAATATACATTCTCACCACGCCAAAGACACCACACTTTCATACACATATAACACGCGATCCCGAAGCACTATCACACATTCTTGGCACGCGAACATATTGTGCAATCGCACCGCCACACCATCACACCTCACGGCCACACACACGGCATAGCACCACATCACATTCGGCCCAAGCACAAACTAGAACAAGCCAATGACAGCAAACTACACAATTAATCCGATAAACCCAATCAAGCCAATACATTTCCAAATAATCACACCATTCAACCCCGATCGATCCTCAACATCACAGTCCTAACCGAGCCTCCTAAACCTCGAATTTCCCTCGCCAATCAGTCCACAATCATCTAAACAACCAGCCATTAAACACAATTCACATAACCACGCACAAATTTCAATTCAAGGCACAATCCCATCAATTAATCGCACAATTCAGCCGCGATCATTTCGCATCACCTCGGCCCCATCCAAGCCTACCAAACCATGCATTTTCAATCTCCCAAATCAGTCCATAACCTCCGAACAGCCAGCCCCGTTCTCAGCCTAAAATAGCCACGAAAACAGCCACAATTTCGCCTAAATCAAGTCAACTACCACTTTTGTCGACAATGAGCTCGCAGCAATTGGGTGTTAGTGAACCCCCGTACGGACGCGGCGAACAGTACCACTCCGTACGGACACTGTACGGACAGGCTGGGACGGTGCCGGCGAGGTGCCGGTGACAGCCGCGGCGTCCGACGGTCCGGCGTGAACAGTGATCCGTACGGACGTGAACAGTACCTCCGTACGGACACTGTACGGACTTTCATAACAACACCAAGAGATGTACAAATAGAAGCACAAATAGCAAAGATGAAAGCAAAATTAAACCGCACGAAACAAGAAACGAAGAAGAAGAAGAATTTTCACGGAAATGACCGAATAGGCTGAGAGGAGAGAGAGAGGGTTTGGTCAAATGAGTCAAAGTTGGTGTGAGTGGAATCCATGTGTCTCAATCTAAGCCAATTGGACAATTTTGCCCTTGATCCAATGGCTTTCTTTCCTTCTCATCCAATAATTTAGGGGTAGAATGGTCATTTGCTCTTAACCATGGTTGACCAGACCTGAGTTAAGCCTA